CGCACCTTTGGGAGGCTGAGGTGAGTGGATTGCCTGAGCCCGCGGGTTCGAGACCCGTCTGGGCAGCGAGACCTCATCTCTACAATAAATAAATAAAAAAAATCAGCCGGGAGTGGTAGCGCTTGCCTGTAATTCCGGCTACTGGGAAGGCTGAGGCGGAAGGATCGCCGGAGCCCGGCAGGTCGAGGCTGCGGTGGCCGGGAGCGGCCACTACACTCCAGTCTGGGCGACAGAGTGAGACTCCAACTCAAAAAATAAAAATAAAAAACAAAACCCCAAACTAAAAAGAATGTAGTGATTAAATATGATTTGTATATGAACTATTATTTACTTTTAGAGAAAACTTGTACATATGAAAATGTTAGTTATACATTTTTTAACTTAAAAGACATCAAGGTCAGTGTTGTGCATCAATGTGGGTTGAGCTACTTTGAAAATATTTTTCTATGATTTTAAAAATTGTTATAGCGATGACCTTCCTATGAAACCTTGGTATAGTGTGCCCTTCTTAATAAGTAGTTCTTCCCTTCTTATTTTGCTCAACTGCTACTTATTGAGGATCTCTACCATCAAGAAAGTGTTGCTATAGGAACCAAAATTTATAAAGAATCTAGACCTGATCTCAATGAATTTACAGTTCTGGGTAGAGCAAATGAGGCAGGTGGTAGAAACCATGTTGGTAAATTAAGTGCCAGAAGTGTATGTTTTAAAATAATAAATGTAGAAATCCAATGTAATATTGGCAATATGTTTTCTAATTTGTGATGATACATTTTACCCATTAGTCATGTTGGTAATTAGTGTGAGACTGAATAAAGTATTAATGGTCCCAGTAAGGGAGAATTAATAGAAAATTAATTTTGTTGCCTTGCTCTAGTTTTCTTTTGAAAAACAAAGTAATTTATTTAACTAAGGCTTCAGTGATGATGTTTTTATTTCCCTCCCCTCTAATGAAACGCACAGGATATGAAATACTTCTATCTCTGAGAACTTGAAACATAACCTAGGGTCTGACGTGGTCCAGTCCTGACCCAACATTGCATCAAAGAAGGATCAGTTAGCAGAAAGAAAAAGAGAAGTTATTTTATCATTCCCTCAAGAAGAAAAAAAAAGTGCAATTAGTGATGAAAGCACAGCAGGACATATTGAAGTTTCTTTGGGGACATCTATTTTGCTTCCAGTTCTGTTTACATGAGTGCCAGTAGCCTCCCCTGAGCTCCCTTTCCCTTATCTCCTCCCTCTGTCCCCTTAGCTCCTGCCCTCCAGTCCAGCCTACAGAACCCACTGAGTGCTTCTCTTCTCTGTCCTTTCCTCTGCTTTCCTGAGTTTATGTTTTCACGTTCTTCCTTTTCTTTGTGAAATCGACCTAGTCTATCATTGACTCATTTCTATCTTGTAACCGCTTCTATTCATTTTCCTGGTCAGCGTAGCCAAAAGGCTGGGAGATGGTGGTACATATGAGGATACCAAGGGTACTTTCATTAATAATAATTTATGTTCATGCTATGCAACCAGGGCTTGATTTGCCAAGGCCCCAAATCAAAGCAAAACGTTTTATTTAAAACAAGTAGATTTTCTTCTGTAAGTATAAAATATTATTGAATTCAACTATAGTTACATTTTATCTTCCTGGCAGACTTGAATGATCACTTGACTATTAATTAGAGGAAAAACATTTTAAAATAATAGGCTATCTTCTGCTGATAGGTGCTGTGTTCAACTTCTGACTGCACCTCCCTGTCATATAGAAGACAGTAAAGAGATCCAGAAAAATCCACTGTGATTCTAATCTGACCTAAGATATACATTTTTCTCATAATAAAAGCTGATGTATACTTTAAAATGTGCTAAAGTTGCCAACTTTTAGATGCCAACTGGTAGATTTGCATATTTAGTTCCATTTAACAAGGCTCATGTGGTGGCGTTTCAGTGCTGAATGCCCTTACTGTTAATATTTCTGAGGCAAAATGGTCACTTTCCTCACCCCTTCTTGTTAATGCTGATACAGACAAAAGTGGTAGTTACCAAGTCTTATATTTCTATCCAACTTAGGATGCCAAATGGGGAGAGTTGTAAGTTTGATTTTCATAATTAGGAAAAATTTATCATGATTAGATTGCAGCAATATGATAAATAATCTCAGTGGTCTAATATTTCTGATGCTCAGGAAAATCTAGAAAGCTCATTGGCTCAGGAGGTGGCATCTTTGTGATACAGGATAGAGGACCCCAGAGTTGGGATCCAGCCTGAGAAGCTAAGTAGATTCTTGGCCTTAAACACAAAAGAATTTAAGGGTGAGCCAGCAAAGTAAAGTAAAAGTTTATTAAAAGATAAGAGGGACAGAAGGCTAGTCTATAGGCAGAGTAGCCTCCTATGTCGCTGGGATTTCAGTTGGAAAATGGAAATAAATTTGTTGAAATGACAGAGAGCAGGCCGCTCCATAGGCAGAGCAACCTGGGTTGGTCTATAGGATAAACACACCCATACGTGACTGAGGTGTTTTACTTTTATAGCTATTGCTTGATTATATGCTAAGTAAAGGGTGGAATATTCATGAGTTTTCTGGGAAGGGGCGGAGATTTCTAAGAACTAGGGCTCTTCCCTGTTTGTTACTATAAACGGACAGAGTTGGAACATCATGGAGCTGGAACGTGTGTTATTTTGTATGCAGATGTGTTATAATGAGCATATAATGAGGAGTAAGGTAGGTAGCAGACAGATGAGTCACCATCTTGGTTCTAGCTGGCTTTAACTGGTTCTCAGTCTCATCGTGTTTTTCTCTCTGGGGTTCAGAAAACCAGGCCACTGTCTGTCTAGAGAAACTGTCTTAGCCAACAGTATCGAAAAGTTAGCCTTGTTGATCCTAGAAAAATCGTCTTGCCAATCTCTTGTCTCACTTGGAACCTGGCATGGCTGGTGACAGGTGCCCTCAGAGGGCCCCATAAAGATGAATGTTGAGGGCAACATGGAGAGTGTTTATCAGGCCTCGTGATGGAAGGGTGCGGAACACATATCAGGGACCAGCCTGCCTGAATTCACATTTCAGCTCTACCCAGGCAACCTGCTGAACCTCTGTCTGCCTTTGTTTGCATCAGCTTGCTCCCAGTTCTATGGACGGAACAGCCGTCACCTCAAACAACAGGGCAACCCTTGTGGAGAGCTTCTGTTCCTGCACAAAGCTTCTCAGGACATTCGGTCCTTAGAGCTTCTGCCTCTCTCTTCAAGATTTAAAATCCACGCTGGACTGCGGAAAACTCCAGGCAGCCCTGCAGTTGAGACTTGTTTAATCCAACATGTTTATACCTTAAGGACCAAGTGACCCTGCGTAAGACATTTGTTCTGAAACAGCGTCACTGCAGCTGTGTCTTTGCTAAGCCAGAGTGTGTGTTTCATTTCCTAAAACCTGGAAAGAGATTTATGTAGAAGCATCTGATTTCTTATGTGTCAATCCCTCTGTGTGTCCTTTTGTGAATGCTCACTCAGCTTCTTAGTGAATCTGTTTGAACACAGAAGTTTTTGGAAGCCAAGAGATGCTCAGAAAGCTAAAATCTGTTAAATACTGTTGTGGGTCATTATACATGTCTCATGGTCATATAGTTTTATTTTTTATTTTTTATTTTTTTATTTTTGAGTTGGAGTCTCACTCTGTCACTCAGACTGGAGTGCAGTGGCTGCTCCTGGCCACTGCAGCCTCAACCTGCTGGGCTCCGGTGATCCTTCCACCTCAGCCTTCCAAGTAGCTGGAACTACAGGCGTGCGCTACCATGCCTGGCTAATTTTTTGATTTATTGTGGAGATGAGGTCTCGCCAAGTTGCCCAGGTGGGTCTCGAACCCGCGGGCTCAGGCAATCCACTCACCTCGGCCTCCCAAAGCACTGGGATTACAGGCTGAGCCACCAAACCCGGCAGTCATATCGTTTTACTCTAAAAAAGGGAGGATGGAGAAGAATAAGGGATGATTTGAAAGAGAAAAATGCCAACTCTTTGAAGTCATTTATTAAAATATAAATGCTTGCTGCCACGTCAGGCAAGCATTTGAAGAAAGAAGGGGTTGCTGAGTTTCAGATGTACAAATGGAATTATTTTTAAGGTGCTTATCAGATACAGCTCTCTAATTAAATACATAGCTCTCTTATTTATTATTTCCATGTAAACGTTTAAGTTTCAAACTGGAATCCCCATAAGCTCATCAGCCAAGAAACTAGTGCTGGAGAAGTCTTTAAATTATTATTATTATTATTATTAAGTTGGAGTCTCACTCTGTAGCCCAGACTGGAGTACAGTGGCCGCTCCTGGCCACTGCAGCCTCGACCTGCTGGGCTCCAGCAATCCTTCCACCTCAGCCTTCCAAGTAGCTGGAACTACAGGCACGCGCTACCACGCCCGTCTAATTTTTTGATTTATTGTAGAGATGAGGTCTCGCCAAGTTGTCCAGGCGAGACAACTGCGAACCCGCAGGCTCAGGCAATCTACTCACCTCAGCCTCCCAAAGCGCGGGATTACAGGATGAGCCACGAACCCGGCTTTAAATTATTTTTGATGTTTCAAAATTCACATGGACATAATGCTTTGCGAGCCGGGTGAATAGAAGCGGCAAGGTTCTTTTCATTGTACTAATTTTTATTTAAAGTTTGTTTGTTTTTGGAGTCTGAGTCTTACTCTTTGCCCAGGTCTGCACAATCATGGTTTACCACCCCCTTAACCTCCTGGGCTCAGGGATTCCTTCTATCTCAGTCTCCCAGTAGCTGGGACTACATGCAAGCACCACTACCCCTGGCTAATTTTTTTATTTTTTGTAGAGAGGAGGTCTCGCTGTGTTGCTCAGGCTGGTCTCGAACTTCTGGCCTCATGCAGTTCTCCACTTCAGCCTCCCTAAATGCTGGGATTACAGATGTGAGCCATCATGCCCACCTACCTGTACTTTTCTCAAACCAGTGTTGCCACACCCGCTGTCTCCCATGGGAGTAACACACTTTTAGCACAGACCTGAGCTTGGAGTCAGCAGCCTGTCCTGCAGTGGATCTCAGCAGCTACTTCACCTCTCAGGACCCCACTTGTTCTTCCGAAAACTGGGGCTACTAAGGATTGTGATAATATTAGCTAGCAGGTGCCTGTAACTTAGTAAATGTTCGTCTCCCCCCTTTTTCAATTTCTTAGTGATGAAGGCTAAGATTATTACTAAAGCAAGTTTTGATTTACAAATGTTAGGACAAATATTTTAAAGTGTGGGACCCACAAGGAAGGAAAAAAAAAAAAAAACACTACAGGGAAACTCTGGAATAGAAAATGTTTCAAACCATCGTTGGAGATGGTTTTCCTAACTGTTTCTGTTGCATGACCTTTCTTCAGAATAGAGATTTAATCATTGCTTTTCTTTGAATGATGATTAAATTGCTATGTCATGCCAGGAAAAGGATTAGCAGCTGGCTGTGTTTATTAATTGCTTCTTGGTACCTGGTTATGAGACCCGGAGCCTCAAGACTCACCAGGATCCCAAGCCCCTGTGAAAGTCTCAGGGAACCCTGCAGTACGTTCAGTACAGTGAGAAGAGTGAGTCTCACGTCGTGTAATGGAAATACTGGCATTATAATAAAACATTGTCATCAGATTAACAGCTCAAGCTGTGAAAACAAATGTAAGAGCTCTGCCTTCTGGCGGTAGGAGGTGATTATCTTGTGAACTCTGCTCTAGCCTGGTGGAACTCTCTTTTATGGAAATACAATAGCTTTGTAATCGGAAAGATCATTCCAATCCTCTTCTTTGTTTTTAAGGAAGAATTCTTCCTGCTGGCTCATGGATCCCTCTTCTCACCTGGAATCCCAGGATTCGTGCGGCTGCCTGGTATGTTTATGCAGCAGTTTTGATCTTTTGAAATCTAAACTTCAAGTGACAAAAATAAGTTTGCGCCATCTACAAAATCTTTTTGGTTGTTGTTAACTGCGTCTCTGTGACTTTTTAGTTCTCTTGATTTGATTTACTGTTTCTGGGAAAAGTTTCATCGCATGAAATGAACACTGATGTAGCACAGATGCTGTATAGACTGAGGGAGCACTGCTCATTCATTTCTGAACACCTTGGGTCTTTTGCATTCCCAGTGGCATTCATCAAGCAGATGAATCTTCCTCAATTAATGATAAGGAAGCTAGACTTGCCCTTTGGAAGGAAATTCCCCCTCAAATCCAAGGCAGGATGGTCTTCAGGCTCTTACCGTGTTTTTATCTGGACTAGATATTAAGAGTGATTGTGCCACTTAACTCTCTCTCCAATTGAGGTTGATTGACACAAAAGCATACAGAAGTAAGTGTGCTGCTATGGAAGTGAGTACCATCACTGTCTTGTCTGTGAAGGGGAACAAGTTGAAATTCAGTTGGAAAACTGACTAGAACTCATCTTAAAATAAATCTTAGGAGTGAATTAATAATAGGCATAGACCTGTTGGCCACAATCAACAAGTTTGTGTGACAATCCTAATTTACAAAAAAAAAAAAGAAAAGAACAAAATCTTTGTTTAAGTTAATTAAGCATCTTTGAGGGAGAAGGTTACATGGAAAACATGTTTATATGGCCTTTCTATTTAATGGCCTATAGGATGCATTTCTCTTAGTAATTGTCAACCTAAAGGAAAAAACTGAGGCAAATGAATGTACGTAGAGAGTTTATTTGGGCCAATGTTTTAGACTGCAGCTTGGGAAACATTTCCAGTTTGTCTTAGGAAGTGTTTTAGAGAACGAAGGAGAGGCTTGAGTTTGGGGGGGTTTTTTTTGAGTTGTGGTCTCACTCTGTCCTCTAACTGGAGTGGGGTGGCATGATTCTGGTTTACCATGGCCTCACCCTCACCTGGCTCAGGTAATCATTCTGCCTCGGCCTCCTGAGTAGCTGGGACTAAGGGTGTGCACCACCACACCTGGCTAATTTTTTTAGTTTTAGTCTCACAACATTGCCCAGACTGGTCACAAACTCTTGGACTCAAGCAATTCTCCTGCCTTGGCCTCCCAGATTGCTGGAATTATAGGCATGAACCACCGTACCTGGACTGACAATTTGAATTTTTTTAGAAAGTAATCTAGTGAAAACAGCATGTTAGAAAGATGTATGTTGATGCAGGGGCAAGGTGGATTGAAGGAAGAAAAACTAGAGGCAGGGAAACTTTAAAGTTTGTTATGTTCATCTGTGAGTGAGGTCATCAAGTTTGGTCAGTCTGTCTATCCTGACAAGTAGAAATTATAAGCATTGGTGGTGTATGGTATAATGTCGTGACATAGGTATAAATTATGGAATGGCTAAATTAAGCTATATAATACAAGCATTACTTTATATTCTTATTGTAGGGGCCACGGGAAAACATCCCCTTTACCCTCTGAAGTTTCACTGAAAAATCAGCTCAAAAAAAGCAGATTAGTTGGAGAAAAGGCATATAAATTTTATTAATCATGTATACAGGGAAAATCACAGAGTGATTACCTGTCCCCAACTAAATTCATAAGTTTATGTACCATTTTGAGATTACAGAAAAACTAGGGGCTTGGCTCTTGGCAAGTCAGGTTATGGGAGGGTGGAGAAGAGGAATTCCATTGTGGGGCAAAAAAGGATCACTGAGGAGAATGAATGGATCCCGGCACAGAGATTAGGGTTACATTCTTGTTCTTTCAGGGAGGAAAAGAAAAAACTGTCATTCCCCTTGGTAAATGCAGATCTCAGGCAGATAAAAGAGCTTCCACTTCATTTTGTGCTTTGGGAGAGATGGTGGACAGGAAAGTCGGAGAGACCTTGAGGCTTCTGAAGTTCAGCATGTCAAAGTGTCATATTTGGGGGCATCAGTTTTTGAGTCCTGATATTATCTCTTTTTCTGTGGCGAGGACACTAAAAGTCTCCAGTCGTAGCACTTTGCAAGTATACAATATATTGTTATTAACTATAGTCTGCAGTCTGCATGTTGTACAATAGTTCTCTTGAACTTATTCTTCCTGTCTAACTGAAATTTTGTCTCCTTGATTGTTCCCAAACCCCAGCCTCTGCAATTACCATTTTATTTTCTTTTTCTATCATCAGTGCAACATTTTTAGACGTCATATATACGTGGGGGTTTGGCTGAATTCTGCTTTACAACAATTATTACTCTTTTTAGCATCCTTCCTCAAGCCTTTCTGTCAAGAACCTAAAAGTAATACCTTACATGTATATAACCCTTCTTTGTTTGCCATAATCCTTTCATATATATCTGGACCTAGCAGCAGACCCATGCATTTGGGTAAGGCTGTTTTTATTTTCACTTTGCGAATGAAAAGACAAGCTTTGAAAGCTGTAATAAAAGGTTCAGGGGCAGAATCATTGCCTCTTTTACTGTATTATCTTTTTCTTAATTATTTGAGAGACGGAAACAAAGCACATGTACTCTGACCCCGGTTGTGGCAGGACAGGGCACATCACCGCACAGCCTCCAGCGGCCCCAGGTTTCGTGTTGTGTTGACCACCACCTCCTGCCTTGTTTGGTGATTATTTCATGACTCAGAGCCGATGCAGCACTTTAGTGAGTCGCTGGAGAAGAGCTGTTTGATTTCTACTTTAAACACCTATGAAAGGAACATGTGCCTTTGAATTTTCCTGCTTATTTTTCTCCCACTAGTTGTGTCTGACGTTTTCAGGTTCAACAAATGCTAGATCATCCAGTGAAAACATATTTTCCTTTTTCGTTTTTACAAATCTACCCAAACTTACATACAGAAAAGGATTTGAAGTTCTCCGCTATCCTTGACTGCAGTCACAGTGGAATTCTGGCATACTTCACAAATGCAGGCAACTCTTAAACAGATTTTAGAAATCAGAATATATAAAAAGGCTGTAGATTATTCATTAAACACTGTAAGTTGGAAAAAGTCACATGTAGTTTAAAGTAATGTCAGTTAAGCCAGTTTGTGAATTGTAACTAAATTTCTGTTGTATCTCGTTGAAAACAATTTCATAAGTGTCCAAACAGAAGTGCCAGGGTTCCCTACCTGACCAACCACCTCGGCCACATACTGTTGAATCTTTCGGGTTTCGATTTCGAGGATTACCTGCTGGGGCCATCTGAAAAACCAAGGTGTGTTCAATACTGTCACTGGGTCTTTTCTATTTTCTTCAAATTACTTTGGAAAACCTATTTTCTCAAATGCTAATGTTCTTAAAAACTCGAAAGTCTAGTCCTGACCTTGGTGCTCATAAAAATTTCAAATAAATGCTACAGGCTTTAATAAGATTCTCTACTGATGACTTTTACTCTTTTAAACACTGGGGGATTGAAATTTGTCAGGGGTAGAGGCAGTAAAACCAGAAGCGATTTTACTGCTTTAGGGAATAAGAGCAGATAAGTTAAAAGCATAATGAAATAATGGCCTCCTTTCAGAATTCCCTTTATTATGCAGCATCCAACATGGGGACCTGGGTACAACTGCTGTTTTAAAATATTTCTTGGGTGATTTGGGGGAAAGTTTTTGTTCCATCCTGAATTTTCTTGAGTCTAAGGGATTGAATCAAGATAAGGGAGATAGCAATGAGCATGTCTCACTGCTTTAAATCTGAATAACATCAGCCCACTGACAAATTTCCTAAGTGCCCCAAACACATTACATTGAGTCTCATGCAAAGGCATCCCATAGGTTGTCCATATTGCTGGGGACACTCACTGCCCTTTCCCTGTCCCCTTTTTATCTTTGCCATATGAGTGAGACATAATCCCTGTCCTAGTGTGATTTTCCTGTCTCCCATCTCTTACTATCTTTAAACATGTTCTAGAATCTCTGGTTTTCTTTTCTGTTTCTGATGGTTAGCTTTTTGAAGGTGGGAGCTTATGTACTTAGAGTGGTATCTGGCACATCAAAGATGCTCAAATAATTATTTGTTGAGTGAATAAATGTGTTTAGTTGAGCCAGTTAGGAAGGTATTCTTATTCCTTTGCCCAAATTTTTTGGTGAGAATAAGAGCACTGTGATAGAACAGAAGACTGTTCTTCACTCTTTTATCTATAGAGTGAGAAAGTGTAATATGTGCCTTTATTTAGAATATTAACTATTTTTTGGAAGATTAATAGGTATAAGATAATGTGCAATCCTTGGAGATATGGAAATAAAAGATATAATTCCCACCCAGGAACTGGAACTGCATGAAGGAGAAACTACATAGAGAAACTAGCAAATAGACAATTAAAAGCCAGTATGGTAACTGATACAACAGATGAACATGCAGGGTATTGTGAAAACTCAAAAAAGAAAGAGCATCTAACCCATCTGAAGTTTTCTGGAATGCTTTCCTGAACCAGGCAAGATTTGAGTGGAGGATTGAAGAAGTAGATTAAGGAGAACAAACCAGAGTGACTTGAAAGATCCTGACAGACTAAGTAATTCTCAATAGTGAATTTATAGGGGAAATAACCATTAATTAAAATAGAGTGCGGATATATCCATTACAAGGTATGCATTTCCTAACAAAATGGTAGGTTCTGGTAAGCACACTTGCTAATGTTGCTAGCCTTATCGAGACCTTCTTAATTATCGGTGCTTTCCTTGGATAACTGACTTGGGAGCCAAGCCACTTCTATCAGCACGATGCTTCCACCTGTGTGGTCACAGCACAAACCACGAATGCTCAGCTGGCTACTGTTCTCAGATCACTATAACTAGTATGATTGGCAGTACATACCCTCTGGTTAGAAGTCCTGGCACACCCTAGTTGAAGCACTAACATGCTGTTTACTGTTCTTAGGCTTGGAGGTTGGTCTTTTGGAGAGCGAATCCCCAGTGAAGCACAAGGTACCAGTGCTAACGTGTCAAAACCCAAAACTCTGGCAAAGGTAATAGTGTTCTTTTTTTTCTTATTGTTTTAGAAAGTATTTAGGGAAACTCAGTATCTAAATACTATATATTTTTGAGCATGGGTTGGGTGGACGGAATTAGATAAAATTCCGATGTTTGTAACTGAACATTAAGAATAGCTGTATGTAAACATTCCCTTGAAAAAGAAAATGGTTTGTTTTCCTTTATACTATATAGAAATAGAGCAGACAATGCTATTGCTTTTTTTATAAGACAGGATTTTACCTGCTAGATCTGAAGTATATGAAAAAATGATCAGTTTTAAAAAATATCCATCCATAATTTTGATAACTGGAAATGTCACTGGTTTCCCTGACTGCCAAATAGTCTTCCATATGACCCTGATGCGTTATCTTCTGTAAGGCTAGGTAGACCCAGAGCTACACAAAGGAAGACGTGATTACACAAGTCTGCTCTGAGTTTTCAAGGCCTGTCAGGGCTATCCCTGTGAATTAGGAATGATCCCCTTGGAATTACAGAGGCTGGGTGGGAGGGCTCATCAGGTGTGAGGAAATGATGGCTGGGATAGAGGAAAGATGCCTTGGTCCACCAATAGGAATGCAGAAGTGGCGAGTACAGAGGATTTTCTAGGGAAAAGTCAACATAATCTTAAAATGGGAAAAGGTGATAGAGTCAGAGCTTTTATTCTCCAGGACTGGGAAAATAGTATAGTGATTGATGGAGAGAGAAATTGGAAGAGTAGGTTGTGGGAGGAGTCTACTGTGGGAGAGTGAGAGTGAGTTCAAGTTAGCTATTTCTATAGAGTGGGTGTTGTGTCTACTCATAAGCCTTTCGTAGAACTAATAAAACAAGAATGATCTCCATGAATCCAGGAAGGAACTCTCTCCACTCTATAGTGGTGACTTTCATAGTTCAGGGGAACCTGGATAAGTTTATTGGGATAAGGACATATGTATGTTAGAGATTTACTCTATGAAATAAAAGTTTCATACAGGTACTTCACAGTGTAATGCCTGATGAAAATTCTAATGGTAATACTTTACAATGTAATGCCTGAAGAAAAATTTAAGTCATACTTTACAATGTTATGCCTGAAGACAATTTCAAGGCATAGTGTGGACTTTTCAGAAATATCTCCTTTAGCTGGTTTGTTCAAATCTTTGTTTCTTTAAAGACAACACATATGAGAAGACTTATAGCTCTATATGAAAATATCATTATTCATAGCTTGGTAAAATAACTTAAAATATATTTGCTGGCATATATTGGAACATATTATGTGACCTTGATAAAAATGTACCTAACGTGTAAGACGAATCTGTTAATTTCCGCTGAGAATATTCTGAAGTTTTAGCCTATCCATTCAAACCCTTCTCATTTATAGTAGATAACTGTGTCTACTTTGAAATGTCCAAGGCACAGATCCCTTGTTCAGTGGTGAGGGGCCAGCGATTCATGAAGTTTTTGATGTAGTTTGACATATTCTTTGCCAGGCACAAGCATGCAAGTGAATTGTATCTGGTCCTTTGGGACCTTCAGGGACTGAGCTTCTTTTTAGGAAGCCAAAGAATTCAATATTGCAGTGGGGTGTAAAGGGCAATCTGCTGTCTGAAATACCCAGTGGAGGCTGCTGGTGGCTGATGGTATGTCAGATGATTGCATTTACCTTTCAGTAATTAATTACCAGTTTTTTTCCTTCAGCCTTTAGGCTGTATTTATAAGACATACATGTTATGATTTTCATAGTCCTTTTGAAGGAAGGATGGAAATTTGCATATGAATAGGTTTAATGTATGGTTCATTATACTGTAGATTGTGTATCTTGCAACCTTCATGAGTTATATCATTCACATCTTGAGTGCTTAGCTTGTTTAATCAAAACACTCTTTAGAACATACACACTTCAGATAAAAAAGCCAAACACATTTCCTCTCTTGGTTTTTGCATTCATTTTGTTCTCCCATGAAATTTTATATGCTTGAATATTCAGTGAGTGGTTTCTTTTTTCTTACAGCTACTTAGTTATTTTTCGGAGGGGCTTTTACTCATGATTCCTGAGATGAAAGGTCTGTTTTGAGGTGTCATAGTATGCTCCTGAAAGGAGATTAACTTCCTATTTCACTTACTGGACTTTATCACTTCCTGACTTATGGACTGGCAAGGAAGGATATCCCACAACTTACTTTCAGAATACAGTCCAGTTTTAGAAAACCATCTTGGGAGAAGGAACAAAAAAAGAAAGAAAAAGAAAGAAAGAGAGGCTTTTCCTTTGAACTCTGTTAAATCCTAAATGCTAATTTTAAGATCATTATAAAGTATGCATTTCTTACTTTAAAATTTATAAAACCTTTTTCCAAGGAAAGGCCAATTTATAGACGAACTGAAAGAGAGTTCAAGAACACTTAAACTCTGTTCCTTGGGACACTGTGAATCAATCATTTATTGCCAAAGTGATGCTATATAGCAAACAGCCATAAAAGATCGATAGCATCAGCAATAAACATGCATTTAGCTCATGGGGTCTGAGGCATTGGGCTACTGTGGTTGTGGTTAGCAGATGGTGCCCAGTCTCCCGAGCTATGGGGAGTTCAGAATATTTCTTAGCTAGGCCCCGTTCTGCCTCTGGGGAACGTGCCCTAGTTCATCATCTGCAGTGGCCATTAACTCTACTCTGCCATGTGTGATTTTTACCATCACCCTCCATGGTTATGTGTGAAGAAGATAGTTGACATTTTGCCTTGTGAACAGCTTCTCAGCCTGCTCCCTGCCAGTAGAAGGCTGGGCCCTCAGAGCTATTTACATTTAGTCTGACTTGGGGTACCTTTTTGATATAACTCCCTATATTACACTATAGGCTTTCCGTTTATTTAATTGAGGTCCACAAGCTACTCCCATGGTTCTTGTTGAGATATGCCACCTTTCAAAATTAATTTTCTGAGGGAAGCCAGTATACGATGGGGCATCATAACACCCCTTACATTCCAAGGAACCCTTTTGTCCCCCTAAGAGCATCTCTTAGCACTGTTGTTCTTTCAGTGCTGTTAACATAGTTCTCACAGCCATATCTTTGACTTGATCTGTATTCTGAGGCCATGCCTTTCAACATTTTGCACAGGGATCTCCATACCTAGGTCAAGATGTTTGTTGGGTGCAATTTCTATCTTTGAAGTTAGTAAAGGTGACAAATTTACCAAATGTTTTGACCCTGTTTGATATGAATCAACATATTTTCAGTTATCTACATATGTTTTTTTTTTTTTTTTGGTAGTTTTTCTTTTTTTTTTTAACCATTTTTTCCAATATTCCTAAATGTTTTCTCATTTTCTCATTTTTTTAAGACTCTTCCAGTTGTTTCTTTGTCCTCCTACTTGCTGCTCAAAAGCAATGCCATATATTTTCAGTTTTTGGTACAGAAACACTCCATTCCAGTGTCAATTGCTGTATTGGTTATCTATTGTCCCAATAATGCTCTATAACAACTATGGCAAAGCTCAGTGGCCTCAACAAGGGACATTTATTTAGCTCATGAACCTGCAAAGTTCTACTCATCTAGTCTGAGCTGGGCTGATCTTGGCCAGAAATGATCATGTGTGGTTGGCTGGCTGTTGGCTGCAGCTGGGATGAGGGTGGAGGGCTCAGCTCTGCTCCTGTGTCTTGTCCTCCAGCAGGTTAGCCTGGCCATGTGCCCACAGTGATAGTAGAGGCATGAGAGGGAACACAGGAATATGCATGTTCTTCTCAGGCCTCTGCTGTGTGATGTTCTATTGGCTGCAGCAAGTTAAGTGGTCAAGCACCAAGTCAGAATGGGAGGGCATGAAAGTGACATGGCAAAGCATGTGAATACAGGGATGGTGAAGAATTGGGTCCATTCGTGTCATCAAGAACACTGACAGAGGGTAAGACAAAGGAAGATGAGTAGATAGGCTTCCATCTTTCCAGCTCTGTTCTCCTGACGCAGCTTCTTTTTGGTTTCTATGCTATTCTCTTGTGTCACTTTTCATTTGAAAAAAATCACCTTGCTTTTGAAGCAATCCAATGAGACAAAACAAAATAAAATTTGGAAACTCCTAATCAAGGCAAAGACTCCCATTGTCGCTCATAGTTTTTTGCCCCTCCAGTTAAACAGTTAAGGTAATCAGAACTTGGGGAGAGCAAGTTTACAGACAGCGTGGTAGGAGGTTCCAGTTTCCATAGGCAGTGGGTTTTCTACCATATTCTGTCCCCTGACTTTAGCAGAATCCTGTTTCTATCATTTGCAGAAATATGGTGGGTGCCTGTACAGATATATGTGTGTGAGGGGACGGGATGACATGCACGAGACCCCAGAGGGTGACAGTATAGAGCGCTGTGTGGATGGAAGAGGTGGACATTCCTCTGATATATGACATAAGCTCCTTCAGTTCAGTGTTGAGTTTGATGTTGAACTCAGGCTTCACTCTACCTTGGAGAATTGTGTCTAAATTGCTTTAGATTTTCTTTTTCTTTTTCTTTTCCCTTTTTGAGTTGGAGTCTCACTCTGTCACCCAGGCTGGAGTGCAGTGGCACATTCATGGCCACCCTAGCGTCGACCTGCTGGACTCCGGCGATCCTTCTGCCTCAGCCTTCCAAGGAGCTGGAACTACAGGTGCACGCTACCATGCCTGGCTAATTTTTGATTTATTGTAGAGACGAATTCTTGCCAAGTTGCCCGGGCTGGTCTCGAACCAACGAACTCAGGCCATCCACTCGCCTCGGCCTCCCAAAGTGCTGGGATAACAGGCTGAGCCACTGAGCATGGCCTGCTTTCGATTTTCTTACCACACAACCCTACTGTTTAGACACAGCTATGAATACTTGACAGAACGTCCTGGGTTCTGTGCTTAGTCAGTTTCAAGCTGCATTCCTTCCTCTTGGAGTTAGAAAAGAATGATTGGCGAGGATTTCTCTATGAACTTAAGAAAATGTTTTAAAAGGAGAGAGTGCTTTCTGAATTGCTTGATGAAATGGGCTGAGTAGAATTGGGAACTTTGTCACATGGTTTTTTCTTTTTAACTACATGAGCAGTATTTCATTACATAGCTGTTCCCGTGGATACTATAGTTATCACACAGGACTCTGGTTAAAAACATGATTTGTTATAGCATGAAGGGGTGGGAGAAAAATGGGTTGGAAGCCTTCATATTAGAAGGGACTTGAGATCTGGTCCAAACTTTGCATAACTTTCTCTGAGAGTTTGAATAGTCTTCTCTAACCATTAATTTCTGTAGGGTGGCTCTGATCCTACAAAGTGTATTGTCTGTTGTAAAAGACAACCTTATCTAGAGCAATGAACTTTTTAAGAAATTGAATTAAGACCAAAATGTACCAGTTTGTCTCTTTATACTTCTTAAAGATACACACCAGCTTTTTCAACTGAGTGTACCTGTATATTTTTTATTAAAATATTGATATTTTGAAATATAACATATATATAAATATAGCATATGCAGAAACAATTTTATTTTTTAAGGGCACCGATGGTTTGATTAATATATATATATTTTTTTGTTTTGTTTTGTTTTTGTTTTTTTGTTGTTGTTTTTTGAGTTGGAGTCTCACTCTGTCTCCCAGACTGGAGTGCAGTGGCCGCTCCCGGCCACCGCAGCCTCGACCTGCTGGGCTCTGGCAATCCTTCTGCCTCAGCCTTCCGAGTAGCCGGAATTACAGGCATGCGCTACCACGCCCGGTTGATTTTTTGATTTATTGTAGAGATGAGGTCTTGCTGCCCAGGTGGGTCTCGAACCCACGGGCTCAGGCAATCCGCTCACCTCAGCCTCCCAAAGGCACGGGATTACAGGCTGAGCCACCGAGCCCGGCTGATTAATATTTTTTATGTACTCCTTATTCCAACTTTAATAACATTGTCTCTTATTTTCACCTTTCTTCTGACAGGCATGCTACTTTATTCTCTATGCTCAGCCAATGTTCAGTTTGGCTTATTTTGAGAAATAATGTTCCATATTTGGTTATTAATTTAAAAGTAATCATTTTTTCTGATCATCTTCTACACTCTTAATTTGCAGGTCAAATTTCATTAGCTTACCAAGTGAGAAAGAAAAAAAAAAAAAAGATGGGTTTCATTTCTTTTTTTCCCATAAGAATATAATTATAGAGCAACATTCACATTTGTTCTGGGGAAAATTAATCTATTTTTAGCCATAAATTACATGCTTGAGATAAATATAAAATTAGCAGAATGGAAATGACTGCTCACTGTCAGCCGTGCAGGAACATTCCTTTGAGTCCTGCACCCAGGTGCCATGGAAGCTAATTGACACATACGTTCCTGTACCCCAGAATAGCTGAAGAACAGACTTAAGAACTGATTTTATAAGAGCCATTAAATTGTCTTTCTTTTTTAGGTGTGGTATAATCAGAAGGCTTTGCATTCCCTACCTTCCTACTTAAATCACCTAAACAACCTTATTTTGTGGAGGCACTTACCCCCTGCTGTGGACTGGAGACAATATGGTAATATTATTTTTCATGTATTATAATTTACTTCTTTCAAAAGACAGTGTCTTTAAAAGTGAAAGAAACAGAAGGTGTTCTGAATAGGAATATAAACAGTGATGAGAAGATTTCTATTTTGCAATCAATCTATAAACACAAGACAGAGTTGTAGGCTCTCTTTGCCTTTATTTGTGTGTCATTAAATGTCTTTGCCTTCTTGCAACTGTGACCTCACTGTAAGTTGAGGGGAGCAAAAGGTGACTTGAAAGTTCTTTTAATAAATTATTTTATTCTGGAACTTTAATATGTTACACAACCAAGAATAATTTTACTTTTTAATGGCAGTATTATGTGGAATAGTGTAATAGAGATTAGGCTGTCTACTTTATCATGGAGAAGGGGAGCATCACGTTTGATTTATGCTGGACCCTCGACTCATCAATTATTAATGTTGATCATTGATTCATTATCTATGCTTTCTTATTTTGGTAAGTGACACAGATCCATTTCTGGAATCCAGAGTTAATTTATTGGTTTAAGGGAATGTTTATTTATCTCACTTGGGTGGGATAAATTATCATTTGTCAAACTAATTCAGTTTCTTAAAAAAGAAAGAAACAAGAAGTATAAGCAATGACAGGCTATATCCATCACAGTTTATTCACAAAATATATTTGTTGAAGCATTAATTTATAGAGAATCAATACTAAACAATTTCTCAAATATGCTAATCACTGTACTCCAACTTTATCTCATTTTTCTTTATTTGTTTTCCTTTCTACCATTTTTTTAACAAAGCAAATTTAATTATTTTCTGGTCCTATAATTATTCTGGAATGCTAATGGGTAATATAAAAAAATTTTAAAGTGTGTGTGACTAGGGAAGTACAAAAAGAGTATAAAGTCATATAGAGAAGGGACAGCAAAATAACATTGATTATGTATCTGAAATGTACCAAGGACTTCCTTGTTATTTAACATCCATATTCTTATTTAATTTTTATATCGATTTTGTAAGATGGACAATATTTGCCTGCTTTACCCATTTTAGAAGCGATTTTCAGAAAAAAGTCTCCTACCAGTGTTGGCTTTGAACAAGGTAATCACAGGGCCATGATTAGATTCTAGGTCTAGCTGATAACAAACTTTTGCTTTTCTACTACTACATTAGACAGAGAGGACTAAAGGAGCCTGCTTCATGGAGGGGGAGTCCTTCACCATGGACCTTGAACAATGAGCAGAAGTTTGAGATCAGGAGGCCATTCTAGGACTTAGCAATGCAAGAGCAATAAATAGTGTATGTTTAGGTTATTTGGTGGAGGCCAGTTTCACCTCATCATAAGGGTGAGTATAAAGGAATAATCACAGATCTCTCTAGAAGGATTGTTTGAGGTCAAACGCTGCTCGACTGACAGGATGAGGAATATGGACTTTAACAGATAATAGGTGGCCTTTACTAATACTTGAGAATAAGAGTAACATATTCTGAGTAATATGTTAAAAAGAATGATCTGGCAGTTGTATATTAAAGGGAGAAGGCTGGTTGCAGTCAAGCGACCTGTTGGAAGGCCGCTGCTCACAATTTAGAGGTCAAGGATGAATCTGGAGAAAAATGATAAAGTGAAAACAGATGGGAGGAAAGGTTGGGGTATTGAGGATGGGGCTAGGAAAGATTTTAAGAATCTAAAATATAAATCTAAGTATTTTAGAATGAATGACTTACTATTCAGTACTGATGACATCATAATAAGTAAGCCAGGGAGAAGAGGTGTTTTCAAAGAAGGGCAAGGTGATATGTGCAGGGTCAGAGATGCTGGTTTGATTCATACATATGGATGAAAATGTGCAGTAGGATTCAGAAAACTGGAGAGGAAAGTTCAGTAGAACAGTCGTAAGTGACCTTAGTTCCAACCTTAATAAAAAATGATAGACAAAGGTGGTCAGTAAGTGAGATAAGAGAAGACTGTGGACGGAACACAGAGAAGAGAGCACAGATGCTGCGGCCCTTGAGGTAGGAAGATCTTGGCACAGAATCCAGGGGATAACAGAATTTCAAGCAGAATTGCAGGAAAAATGATACAAATTTTCCAGAGTCATCAAGAAGAATGAGAATTTGAGTGGTGACCCCAAGAGGGTTAATTCAATGGCGTTCTAGAAATGGAAAACTAGAGTAGAAGGAATGAAGCCAAGGGAGGTTGTTTTAAAGATTTAGGTAGGAATCTAAACAGATAAACTCAGCTTTATGGAAGTCTGACTGTGAAAATGAGTGAAAAGAGAAACTGTGTGTGTGTGTGTGTGTGTGTGTGTGTGTGTGTGTGTGTGTTCATGTGTGTGAAATAAGAAATATTGGCAGGTTTGGCATGCTGATGAGATGAAGAGGTTTATTTGGAACATTTGAAAAAGAAAGGAAAATTAATGGATCAAGACCTGGAAAGAGGCAGAGAAAAAACATGAATGGTGGGATTTATCTCAAAAAGGTAGACATATCTTCATGACCACACAGGAGGAGCAAAAAAGAATCTATGGAGATGACTTGGAAAATACAGAGACTAGTTGGGGAACTTTATGTTAGCTGACTTTGATCTCTATGGAAAGCATGTTAGGCTAAAGGGACAAAGAAGAACCTGGATAATTAAGGAAACAGGAATATTTGGGTAGCTATGATAAGGAGACTATATTGGAGAGAGAGAGAGAGAACAGACATATATGAAATTATGACCAGAGGTCAAAGAGTTGCTCAAATACACCATGCTTTTTTAGTGGATGCACTCAACATGAGGCCATGATTTTTTTCATCTAGAGTGTTGAAATTAACATTAACGAGAATGGATAATGTTTGATGGGACAAAAACAGACTTATACTGGAATGTTTCTTTTCATTGGCTTCAGATTGGATGGGGGCGCAAATATAATCAGAGGCGTCTGGTTGGAGACAGCATAAAGGGGGTGTGGGAATAGGATTTTACAATGTGGCTGATGAGCAGGGCTTATAGAAATGGAGTAGGAGAGAGAAGATAAAGACTCGCTGAAGGAATGAAAGGTCAACGTCTGAGATCAAAGAAATATGGATTTGCAGCTCTGACTGAAAAGAGGCAGGGGCAAAGGACACTGAGGTGGGTGTTTGAGGAAACATCAAAGTGAGCACAGAAATCACTGATGGTCTCAAGAAATGAAAATGCAGAGAATGGAGGCTATTGAGGCATTTGATGAGACGAGCAAGGCCTGATTTGTGGCACTTCTAAGCTGTTTTCCCACTCAGCACACCTAATCGATGGTGTCCACAAGGTAGCCACTTATGTGGGAATACAGAGATTCTGATGAACTCCCAACTGTAGAGTGGGGGTAAAATCAAACAAAACCACAGACTTATTTAGAGGGCCTAACCAGATCTTTAAAAAGTGCAAGAGATGAAACTCTCCATTTAATCATATTTGAAAAAGTGTTTTATTTTTAAAAAACCATATGGTTTATAAAATATTGTAAAAGTTGAGCTTTATTTAAAAAATTAGGTTTTGTTCATTTATGTGCCTCTCTTCATATCATAGTAGAAGGTAAATAAATGCATGCCATTAAAAAATAAGCATACCAAATCTTATAAAATGCATAAAGATTTTAAATAAAACTTAATATAAATACTACAATAGCAGAGAGTAGTCTGAGGATTTTATTAGACACAACATCACTGTCCACATTTTTAATGTCACAGTAAGTCCCCTACATATGAATGAGTTCTGTTCTGAGAGTGCATTCGTAAGCCCAATTTGTTCATAAGTCCAACAAAGTTAGCCTAGGTACCCTACTAACACAATCAGCTACATAGTACTGTACTATAATAGGTTTAAGATACTGTTCACACAACTCATCCATAAAAAACAAGCACAAAAAAATAAAAATTTTAATCTTACAATACAGTACTTTGAAAAGTACAGTAGTACTGTGCAGTGCAATAGCAGGCATACAGGAGCGGGCATCCAGTGAATAGGAAGGAAGAGTTACTGACTGGAGCGGGGAGGGGAGGTGAGAGATGGTAGAGCTGAAGGATTGTCAGCAATAGGAGATGGAAGGCAAGCTGTAATTTCCCTCATGCCTGATGTTGATGGCACAGGTTCTAGTTTCTTGGATTCAATTATATCTGCCCTCTTGAAAAAATGCATGTTTGCATTTTTGAAAGTTTGCAGCATGAAGGTTTGGACGTGGGGAACTTACTATATTTTATTTTTTTGTAGAGATGAAGTCTCACGATGCTGCCCAGGCTGGTCTCAATCTCTTGGGCTCAGGCAATCCTCCTGCCTCGGTCTCCCAAAGTGCTGGGATTACAGGCATGAGCCACTGCACTCACCAGATTGCCTACTTTTTAAAAGCAATATACTTATTAGGATGATGGGCTCCCATCTCTTTCCATGGACACATGTTCTGAAGGGCAGTTAGCTGTCACACCCTCCACTTCCTCGCAGTTACACCTTCCTAGTTTTGCCTCCGTCAGTCTTCTGGGAGGTCCAGACTCTTGGTTAGCCCTCAGCAAATTCCCTTTATGACTTTCAGAGTCCTTTTCTGTCTTATCCCATTAACTTTATGTGGCAGTGGATGGTATTGACAAACTTCCTCCTGATTTTCCTTCTCCTTCACACCCACTGCTCCTGGTTCTTCCTCTGAGCCTGAGACTTAAGCATCTTTTGGCCATCTGAACCCCAGAATGTCTGACACAGACCAAATCCTCGGCAGCTCACAGACAGATTGGGACAGACAGGTTAGAATGTAGTGTGCTCTGGTTAGAATGTAGTGTGCTCTGCTATTCTCACTTCATAGGAGGAAGCTGGTGATGGGGGCCGCCACTTTACCCAAACCATAGCAGACCACGATGAAGAAGAGTGGGACAAGAGCAAGTAAAAAATGCCATAGCATTTTCTACTTTTTCTTGATGGGATGTTTTGTGACTGCTGTAGATCATTGACTTCCAGAGCTCCTACAAGGTTATTTTAATTCATTTCTAGCTGTTAGTGTTTTTATGGAGGAGCAAG